GTGAGTTAAAGTGAAACTGTATTCATATAACTATGATTCCTGAAAATTCACATCAATATACATGAGTAAGAGCCCTTTTTCCAAGAAGTCCATGGAGTCTTTTCTAAGAAAAGTAAAGCTATGACCCATCAGGAATAAACAAACAGGAAACCCAGAGAGTGGGGTCTGGCTTCCAATCTAGGCCTCCGAAGATCTCTGCCCCGACACTGCTTAGCCACTAGGGAAGGACGCAGGAATGGCTGGAACAGCGTGAGCCCAGACTTCGTGTGCCACTGAGAAAGACACCCTCTCTGCAGACAGAGCCACCGGGAGGCAGTGCAGCTGGGCCAGCGCAGTGTCAGCTGGATTTAAGCCCCCCGCACCCCAACAATTGGATGTCCCTGTTCCATGAGCAAATGGGCATAATTATGCATGTTGGCCCTGACCACAAGTGTCCCGTAGGAAGCTCAATGGCAGCCTCGCCTCGATGGGAAGCCATGGAATAGGCAGAGCTGGAATGGGAGAAAGCGGGAAAAGAATAGACACCAATTAAGAATGGGACCCTGGCTGAGGTGGCTGGGGGAAACGAGGGTAGGTATCATATGCTTGGGTAAAAACAAAACAATAAACGAAAATAATAATAATAATATAGACAAGCTCTGTAATATGATTTCCTAAAAGCTCTTAGGCTTTGTTTGGGGGGCAGAGGTAAGGGTGTCCTTCTATCCTAATGGACACAGTGCTGGAAATTAACTGTCCAGAGCTGTAAAACTGGAGGCAGGAACTATGCCCTGTTTCTCCATAGCAAATTGATGCCTAAGAGTTGGATCTTATGCACCTGGCTCCATTTTTCTCCTCCTAGATCATTTGAGACCAATTGTGGTGTGTTTAGGATAGTCTCTCTCTGTAATGTTGTTGATGTATCTCTAATGAGAAGATGCAAGCATCCCTAAAGGGAACTGTACCTGACAAAAGGACAAAAGAAGTGTGAGCAGTTCCACTCTCCCTCTCATCCTTCTTTGACTTAATAAACTCCTGGCATACAACTAAGTACCACTGTTACGTGTTAAGTGCCCAGGGACTAAAGGAAGCCTTCACTGTACGAGATTATATATTAAAAGCACTTGCTGGAAGCAGCACAACAAGGTGCTATTTAAGTTGGCTGTCAGCAAGAACATGGAAATGACAGTGATCATCCCAGTAATAGCTGTCCATGCAGTGGCATGTGTATACATAGCACTAACAGCAGGACAAACAGGACTTGACAAGAGGAGCCATGTGGTCCTGAAGGCAGGGCCTTGGAGCCAGGGGTCAGGCCTCTCTGTTCAGCTTATCCCCTGACCCCGGGACCCAAGCAGGTCTTGGTTTTAGTGTCACGGCAATCTCTAGACTCAAGGGGATACTAGTTACATCAGTCATGAAAGTCAAAGACACGCTCAAGAGGTTTGGAGAACACTGCTAGGTAATACAAGGAGCCGTTTAAAAACAAAGATTGAAGAAATAGCACAAGAGATGGACAGAAAACATAACATCTCTGAGAAAAGAATGAGTGTGGGCCAATGGCAAGGAGGTGGAAGAGTAGGTGGGAGGAAATAATGAACACTTGGCAAGTGAGAAAGAGAAAGCAGAGCACATGGACCCCATAAAATAGATCTGAGGCCAATGTTATACAGAAATGAATATCAAAATTTACCCAGAAAATTCCCAACCCAAGATATATTTTTAATCAATAGTAAAAAATTGTATAAAGTCAGAGTCTTCACAAGGAGGGTCAATAAGGGGAAGGAAGAGAGGGCCTGCAGAGGGTGGGCCAGATATAAGCCCCACCCACCCGGACAGCTGGGTGCCCAGCATCTGAGTGCCATATGTGATATGCCACATTGTACACCATCAACTTATACAATTTGTATTAGTCAAAAAAAATTTTTTAAGGTTAATACCACAGAGAAGGGGGAGAGAGAGAGAGAAAGAGAAGCTCTAACTAATGTGATGGACCCAATAATGAGCAAACATATTCTGGAACATGAATTTGAAGGTAGTGAGTAATCTGAAGTCATCAGAACCCATGAAAACAGAATGGAAAGGCATTTTCTTCCATGAAGAAAATAAGGAAAATTTCAATAAAAGTCATTGATAATCAAAAATGCCCTTAACATGATTTTGCTTGAAAATTTCATTTGAATTTAGTAGAAAAGATGGAAACTAAACATAAAAGCTATAAACACAAAATATTCCAATCCCAAGTGATGTCTGCGGGCAGAACAGAAAGTCCACGTGCTCTAACTCCACCTAGCCGGCCACACCCATTCTGCCAAAACTCGAAATTGTCTTTGAAAGGCTCATGTAATCACTGGCAATTTTCACCATTTTTCAAACACTTGCTCTGAATGTAGAATGAAAATCTTTCAGCGGCTCATTTTCTCCATAAATAAAAAAAAAACAAAACACAATCTTTAATGGTTATGTGGGAAAGAAAAATCAATGTGAAGATATAAAGTCATCCAATAGTTTCATTTTATTTTCCAGGGTTCAATTCTATGCATAATCCAAAACTGGCTCGCTGCTTTTCAAATAAAAATGAAGATTCCCCTGCCTCTACCTACAAAGCTAAGGTCTCACCCAAGAGTTTTTATTGGTTTCGTGCACTTCATATGTTTTAAGGTGAAGTACGTAATTAAGTAAATCTTTGTCCAAAGTGAACAGTCAACAAATGAGAAAATCTAATCACACCCTACTTCACCACTTCCTATTAATGTGAAAATCATGTAAAGGAGAGTCCTCCTTGTTTTATGTTCAAAACCAGCGCAAAATAGTTAACTAACTTGAGGATCTACTTGCCAATCTCTTTTTGGGTCCATTGTTATTTATTTTTTCCAGAAAAAGTGTTTTTCCAAATAATAGGGTATTGAAATTCTTAAGCAAGGACAGCTACTAAGATGCTGATTATTCAAAGATATAAAGAAATTTTGGCAAGAGAGGCATAAAAGGACAGGACAGGTGCTTTGGGCTCCATCATTCTCTTCAGCAGTTCTTCTCAAACTGTGCTAAAGGACCACTTATTCTCTTATTTCTAATTACACACAAAATACAAGCCCCAATTTTTTATCCTTAGATTCAACAGATAGAAAGTTACTCTGTCAACAGATATTCCTAAATGGTTCTTGTCAATTTCTATACTCATCCCAGACCAATAACTGTAGGCGGACCAGCATCGGTACACAGACCACACCTGGAGCGACACTGTCCAAAGGCATCATTGCTTATTCAGAATTGGAATTCTTTTTACAGACGCTGAATTTGAGATGCAACAAGGTCCTACCCAGACTTCTACCCACAGTTCTGAAAAGCAAACATTTAAAATGAAAGGCTAATTTCACAATATATACTATTTCAAAATACATTGTATACCATAAATATATATAATTTTTGTTAGTCAATCAAAAAATGTTTAAAAAGGAGAAAAGTGGACATCTGTAACATTCAACAAGTTGGGTTTTTTGTTCTTGTTCTATTCATCTTCTCAAACAATTGCATGGCCCACTAGTTTCAAATGTGTTTTATAAGCAATGATTATCGTGAAAAAATCCTATAATCAAATGTCTCATTTCCTCCACCCAAATGGTATGAACATGACCTCCCAGGGTTCCTGGGATCCCTGCTCAATGGCCTGGGACAACACAGAGGTTCCACGTATAGACAGAGTTAACACAACGGCCCCGTTGTTGGGTGGCCAGTGTATACATATTTCCTGCTACTTCCCACACATTCAAGTTGGCCGCAGTGTTCAAAAGACAATAAACATGGCACCAAAGTACAATCAGACCCTCAAAGCCAATCTTTCAATAAGCCCCATGTGCTTCCTTTATGGTATCTTAATCCAGGATATTAGCTCTCTGTTCCTGGTCTCCTAAACAGAGCCCCTTCCTCATATTTGTGTTTTGTATCTTACTATTCAGAAGGATAACAAGAAAAGCCATACAATATTCCTTTCTGGCAACATACTATCTAACTCCATATGGAATTAACATTTGTACAGTACTTTATAATTTTCAATCATCTTATTTCAATCTTCACAGAATCCTGCAGAGTAGGTGTTATCCTAATTTTATAGATGTGGAAACTGAGGCAGAGCTGGAACTTGAACCCAATGAGGCTTCTAATTTCATGTCTGGTGCTACTGTACTTACTCTACATTCTATTTCCTCAGGAGCTTGCAAATTTTAGGTAGAGAAAGTTTCCTAAGGTTAAGTTCCAAGTATCAAATAAAAAATGAGTCATAGAGAAAAAAGTAGAGGAATCTGGCTTCTATTTCTGGCTTTGCTATTAACTAACTCATAGCTGAACTTTCCTAGTCCTCAGTTTCCTCATTCATAAAATAAGGAGAAGGAATTAGACAATCGCTGCAGTTCTTCCTGCTCAGCTGTTCCTTGTCTCCTGCTCTGTCTCTGCCATGTTGCTAAAATTAGGCAGAAAACATTGTTGAAATACCTTTTCTGTTCCTTGTGTTTTTTTTCAAAGTTTCCAAGATTAGCTGAATAGTATTTGATAACTATCCAGCTAGTCTGTGAAGAAGGAAAACAATTACCATCTATCTAATAGTTTTTAAGCAGTTCATTTTTTATAAAGAGAAGATAAATCTAGAAACGCCAGCCACAGCACTACACCTACTAAAGTCCTCGTCCCAAGAAGGACCATCTTTAGAGCCACGTAAATTCAGAGCAGTGTTTCTCAACCCCGGGGACATTTGACAGTGTCTGGAGACATTTTTGGTAGTCACAACTGGAGGAGGCATCCAGTGGGTAGAGACCAAGGATGCTACTACACATCCTGCAACACGCAGCGGTCCCCACAACAAAGTGATCTGGTCCCAAATAGGGCCAACATGGAGAAACTCCGTCTTAAAGGGTGAAGTCAAAGAATGGCCCAAAACTCTTTGTAGTGTTTTAGCTGGACTGGTCCATGCGAGAGGCTAAGCAGACGGGCTCATCTGAAAGAAACACGGATCTGAAGACCTCTCTTACCGTGCGAAGAAGGAGGCAGCCACCGAGGTGCCCGTGGAAGTCTCGCTGGCGGCGCAGGAGCCTTGGGAGGCTGGGACGCTGCTGGCGGAAGGCTTGTCTGCATTGTAGCGGTTCAGTGCTGCTTCTGTCAGCCCCTCCCGGCCACTCTCTGTCATCAGCTGAGAGATCTGACAAGGAAAGTGGATACTGAGCTCATTACCTGCGGCCCACTGCATTGCCCGACCACTGACGCATCCCTCTCTTTGGGTGACCGGGCCAAAAGTATGGGGAAGGAGGAGGAAGGCAAGAGAGAACAGGTTTACTTCCCACCTGCATGCAGTTACATGGGGGTGCTTAGGGCTTCTAGAAGGCTATTTTTCAGCATTTTAGCTGGGGTATCTCTTCGTTTTCGTTAAAAATAATGGAATAAAATTACCCCCTGACATTGTAAGTTTCAATTATGTCTCAATCTCCCCTCCATTTGGAGGGGAAAGAATGAACCATTATCGACACAATTTTTGCAGCCCAAGACCAGAACAGTAACATCAACTAATGCTGGTTTCTTAACCGGAATGGCTCCAGATGCTCTCAAATGGAGGATTGGGGCAAAGGTGTGGTTTTATGAAGGGAGAAGCAAGCCTGCTAATGAAGAACATAAGGAATTAAACAAAATACTATAGTGCTTGGTAGTGGTGCTTTGCCACCAGAAGTCAGCAACACAGGCAACTTAGAGAAGTGAATAAAAATAGAGCCATCATGAATTACCAATGGTTTTTCTGAAGTGTCCAGATCATTTCAATAGACTTCATTTTCCCACTGGTTCATTAAGATAAATGGCTTCTGTTTTATTTGAAATGATTGCCTTTATAGTGGAAGTTCTAGTGGATGGGGCTGGGTCCATTTTGCCTAAATCTGCATAATAAGCTATGATGAACTATACTTCTGGGAAAAATGAGAATTCTGTGTGGAAAGACTTTTGGAAAGTGCTAATCCCATGACAAATGTAATAATTAGGCAGGCAAAGTCTAAGTGTGCTTTTGGAAAACCTGTTACTTAAAACTTCAGTCTATGTGTAAAAGGGGAAAATTTTATGTTAAAAAAAAGAAGAAACTTTAGTTCAAAAAATGTTACCAGCCCATTCAAACCCTTAATTGCTAAGTGGAAGTGTTTCTAATCACCTAGAAAATACAAGGGCAATGAAGCAAAGATCCGGAACAGTTTCCACTTTGTAACTGAGCAGGCCAGTAAGCTAGTGAGAGAATCCCATTTGTTAACCTTTGAACATAAAAACATTTGTACTTTTCATTATTAGCAGAATAGCCATTACTCTGAGTCCCATTGACTTGAAATTTTGCTCTGCTTAAATTCATGCTCTCACTCGGAAAGGCTTGGCATTATTCAGCTGAAATTCTGCCAACACACACTTTCTTATTCTCATTCATTCAATGCATTGTAAGGAAACTTGACCCAAGTAAGAGAAACGGGGGAGAAGGCAGCAAAGGCAGCTGCTGGCCTGAAGGACAGTCCCTGCTGACTCTGCAGAGAGCCCACGCCCCTCTCTCTGGGCTCCCTCTCCTGCCCGTGGGGTGTGGGGTGTGGGCTCCCCTCTATTGGCTGCTTCTGTCCCAGAGGAATGAGGCAGGATGAGGGGACAACTGAAAAAAACCTGGGAGCTGAGGATGTGACCATGTGCACTGCTGTCCCCACTAAACAGTAATTATGAAGTTCCACGTGGTACATAATGTCATCCTGGACAATGTCCAAACACAAAATATAACCCAAAATTCACAGTATCATTTTTTTCATCAAAAAGCTACAATCTAACACACACATCTGACTGTGACACACAATGACATTTGAAAAAAGCCAGTGAGCCAGTAAACAAACACGGCATGCAGTTTGTTACACCTTATACACTTTGATGGGTTCACTAAGGTGGCTCTCATCTGATCTCCTGCTTGTGTTGTTTCCTTCTCATTACTGCATTCCTAATCCAACGCTTGGAGGGAGGAGAAGGGAACTCTTCTGCCTCCACATGTACAGATTGTCCTCCCAAACCCAGAGACCAGCCGCTGGGACGTGTGTGGTGAATGGCAAGAAGCCTAACACAGAATTATTCAATAACCAATTGTTTTTAGAAATTAGAATCATGAAATGTTATAGAGCGAGAAGGGATTTCCAAGATCATCACCTTCAGAATTCCTTTCTATAGACAAGACACCTAAATAAAGACCAGAGAAGCGATTTGCACAAGCCAATTTGCAGACAGGATCAGGTCCCGATTCTTAGCCCCTCCTCCCTTCCTCTAACTGCTCCTCACCCCCTTTTTTGTTTTATTTTATTTTTTCCATTTTGGCATATTATGGGGGCACAAATGTTTAGGTTGCATATATTACCTTTGCCCCACCTGACTCAGAGCTTCGAGCGTGTCCATCCCCCAGATGGTGCGCACTGCACTCATTAGGTGTGAATATACCCATCCCCTCCCCCCCAACCTGCCCCAAAAATCAAATAGTAAAACATACACGTGGGTATCCACCACCATCAACAAATGTTAACATTTTACCTTAGAAGATATTTTCTAAAAGAAACCAAACATTATATAAATTCAGAATTGCCCGTGTCCCTAGGCACGTTGCCCTTCCTGCCTCCCTTTCCAGACAAAGTCAGTATCATGATTTCTGTTCTTAAAGGGGCGCTTTCCATCCTCCCTCATAAGAGCCTGGCAGGTCACTTTGCCATTTGTTTCTTTTGAGCATTTTCTAGAGTTTGTTCTGCTTATTCCACAATGGGGAGAGGGCAACCCTCCCCAATGCCTATTCCTAAAGACTCTCACCACCTAAAAGTTCATGTCTCGTTTGTATTTACACTCAGTATCCTCTTTAGGGATTACTGACTTTCAGAAAGAATATACAACACTTTGGCTGCTGCGACTGTTAATTTTCTCCCCCTTACTTTTGCACTCCCAGGCTCTAGCCTCCCTCAAGGTCCTTGAACACACTTCCTGCTCCCCCTGCCACAAGGCCTTTGCACATGTCTTTTCCGTCCATCTGGAATGCTGTTACTTTTCCTTCAGATCCAAGCTCAAATGTCATTTCCTCAAAGAAGCCTTCTTCCAGCTATGGTTCCTCTGCTGGATGCCTTTACAGAACTGCAATCTTTTTCTTCAGTGTCTTTACTTTCATTCATATTATACATCTAATAGTAGGTCATTTTCTCCCACTACACAAATGCCCCAGGTCAGTAGGTCTAGGGCTGCTTTGCCCACCACTGAACCCCAAGGTCAGTACAATGCCGGGTACACAAAGATTCTAAAAATGTTTGGGGAATAAATTTGAGCTATTCTTGCTTTCTAATGCTCCTACTTATCTAATTAAATTTTCTTTTCTTAATTAAGTAAAAAGACATTTCTTTTTGAAGTTTTATTGCTTTTCTATTTTGTTTGATTATTAAGTTACAAAATTATTTCCCCCCATCCTCATCACTGCCAAACTGTATTATTTTGGCTTCACTATGTGACAGTTTAAGGATCAAGGAGATGCCTCTTTTTCAGTCCACTCAACAAAGAGGCAGCTCACTTGTATGAACAATGAGGCACTCTTTTGCATAAACCACCATGTACTGGGTGCTTAGTATGTGCCAGGCACTGTGGAAGGCACATGTGCAAACATTTCTTAGAGTCTCCTGTATCTTTAATATTTACTTTTTTTTTCTTGCCATTTGTGTACAACCCCTTGGCAGTCAATATCTTAAAGAAGAGTTCAAAAGATATCTGTCCAACAGCAACTTCTGTTATCTCTTTTTAGCTGTATCTTTATAATTCTGAAAAACAGAAGAGCTAGCTTTGCTCTCAGTAGAAGCAGCTATAGCTGCTTTAACAATTACAGCAGCTTTAGATGATTCTGAGCTACGGTGCCGCCTTGTCAGATAAACTATCATTTTTCATATATACCCTGGCGTGTAGGCCTTCAAAGTGCTGGGTCTTAATGGATAACTTTTTACCAAGGTACTGTTTTGCTTGTTACCAAGATTTTACTCTCCCTCAACCCAGCAAACTATCCCTAGGACAATATCTCAGGTTACAGCTGAACTGTCCCACTACTCAAAGAAATAAATAATTGCCTACTAGATGAGATTTAGCTCTGGAAGAACTTCTCCAATCCAAATTCTTTCTGTGGTTCTCTGAAACTGTGACAGTTTGTCCCTGAATTGCTTTTATGTTGAGCAAAGACGGTTAACAATCCATATCTATGACAATTACGTCATCATTAACAGAATACAGGATGACCTTATGTGGTCTACCCCCTTTATTGCTGATCGGTATCTCATGAGATTTGAAAAAAAGCTAGACAGAAAAACCCAAGTCAGCCAAAGACATGTGTTCTCTCCCCTCTATAAAATAATGAGGTGTGCATGTGTGTACGTGTGTAGAAATGCTAGCTGTGACTTGGTAATGGGGAGGCTTCCAATATGTGATTTTATCTAAATCTTTAAGTCAAAGGGGGCTTCAATGGGTACTAGAGGAAGGAAGGGGTCCATGCCCACCTGTTCAATGTCCATGTGGTGAGCGGCATAGTGCCAGGCATGGGTGTGGAGGCCTGAGGAGGAAGAAGTGCTAGAGCTGGGTCACTTCCCATGAGTTCCTGAAGGAAGGAGACCCTGGGCCCGCCAGCTTCATCCTGTCAGACCAACACGCACGAGCGCTCACATACCTCAGGCCCTGTCTGAATTCCCTCAATTCCGCAGCCTCACTACGCAGAGTGGTTCTCAGGAGTGGCATTCCATTGTTTTCCTTAAGAGATCCGAAGAGTTTGTATTCCATGATACTGGACACACCATGTACTCGATAGCACTTCTTCTCTTGGCTTCTGAATTTTATCCCTGGGCAATGGCCTTTCCTACCAGTCAGTAGGCCCTGCCATACTTCAAAAGCAATGGTAAGAGGGGCCTGCTTTTTGCTACTAGCTATCAGATAATAAAGACTCTGTTCTGTATGTAAAACCTGCCCTGAAAACCAGGCTACTGTAACTCCACTGGGCAAGGGGATGAGTTCCGAAGAACCCCTGCCCTTTCTCCAGCACCCAAGCCAAGGGGGGTGACCACGAGATGGAACTAAGAGCAGACTTCAGCAGATCCCACAGAGCCCCACTGCAGTCCTGAGACGGTCACCTACAAAAACCAGATTCCA